TTCAAGAAAGCAGGGCATCTTCCTTACAGGGAAGCAGCCTTAAACTTAAACCCTAAACCCAAATCCGAACCCACAAAAAAAACGAAAACCCTAAACTCTAAGCATGTATACTCTAATCCTCTAAGCTTACCGAACTCCTACCTCATGACGACCCAGAAAGAAGAGATACATGAACGAGCCCATGCCCTGTGACACCTGAAGCCCACACACACACACACTTACTTACTTAAACCCTAAACCCTAAACACACACCTACACCTCTACCTTTACAAGACCTCAAGGAATGAGAGTTCATGGTTTAAGTTTCCTGGACCCGAAATAACCTACCTTTTAAGGACATATAAACGAACTCATAGTAAGGAAGCCTCGAAGGTAGGTTCTTTGGAGTTTAGGTGTGTTGAAAAAAGCCAAACCCTTAACCCGAAACCCTGAGACCCCAAACCCTGAACCAGTAACTCAACCCTAACTTCCTAAACCCTAAACCCCCTAAACCCCTTAACCCCTAAACCCCAAAAACCCCTAAAACCCAAAACCCCACAACCCTAAAACCCCTAAACCCCTTTAAGGAACCCTATAGATCCCTTGAATAAGGAACCCGAAGCTGAAAACGAGGCGCTTCGCCAGGAAGGGTGTTCCGGCGATGTTCCTTGGTGAAGGTTTAGGGTTTAGGGTTTAGGGTTTAGGGCCAAGAGCTACCCAGAGAGCCCAATACCCCTTAGTTAAGAATATATGCCTTAAATTATAGGGGCCTTAATATTATGATTTAAGGTATATTCCTTAATTAAGGGGTATTGGGATCTCTGGATAGAGCTCCGCGTACCTACCCTAACAGTCCCAAGTACCTACATGGTTTAGGGTTTAGGATTTAGGGTCTACCCATAAGCCCCTAAGTAGTTCCTTTTTGGGATTACCTTATAGGATTCAGAATATAGACCACAAAAAGGAACTACTTACGCGCCTATGGGTACGTACCCACACCCAGGAAGCCTGTCTGCAAGCTCTAGCTAGGAGCCCCTATAGGCCCCGGTGCACTATCCTTAATCCTCACGGTTTAGGGTTTAGGGTTTAGGGTTATCTATACTATAGCATCAACATAGCCCAAAAGCCTTATGCAATAGGGTCTTTGGGCCCAAAATAGCCTTAAAATATGAGTCCTTCGATGCTAAGGGTAAGGGCACAGGGCCCCTACGTTTCAAGGATCCTTTTGTCCCCAAGGACGAACCCATTAACATTAGAGAAACACTGGGAAGGCTCAGCCTCCGGGCCCAAAACCCGAAACCCAAAAAGGGAGGGTTTAGGGGTTTAGGGTTTTAGGGTTTAGGGGTTAGGGGTTTAGGGTTTAGGGGTTTAGGGGTTTAGGGTTTTAGGGGTTTAGGGGTTTAGGGTTTAGGGTTTAGGGGGGAAACCAGACTTCAAGCCCTGAAACGCTCAAAGGCTTTGTAATCCATCCTTTAAAGTATCCGTTGTAGTGGCTGTCTCAGGAACCGTCATAGAATAGCCCGGTAGCCTTTAGCATCTCTTCTAGTAGCTGTATAGTAACCCTAAAAGTAAAAGGTCCCCTTTAAGTCGGCCTTATAGCAACCTTGCAACCCTAAACCCCAGACTCGAAACCCTAAACCCTAAGCCCTAAACCCTAAACCCCTAAGCCTTAAGCCCTAAACCCTAAACCCCTAAGCCTTAAGGCCTAAACCCTAAACCCCTAAGCCTTAAGCCCTAAACCCTAAACCCCTAAGCCTTTAGCCCTAAACCCCGAGCCCCTAAACCCTACTAACCTAATAGTCGCCCAGGGTTCCTTCGAGGGAACCCACAGTTCGCACCCCTGCACAGGCCCTCAGCGCGGAGCCCCTGCGGCGCGCTGGAAAAAACGATCCGTGCACTTCGGGACTCTGACGGAATTTAGGGATAAGGAGTTTGGGGTTTAGGGTCCAGGGATTTAGGGATTTAGGGTTTAGGGATTGAGGGTTTAGGGTTTAAGGCGTTGTGGCCCGAGCAGAAGGAGGACCGGGTCGGCGAATAGCTGTTCCGGGTACTTTTCTGTCCTTCCCAACCCAAGCGGCGCGCCATCGCACCGCGCAGGGCCTCCACCGGTGTGGGGCCTTTACTCCTGGGTGGAGTTTTCTGGGAGGCGCTCTCCCTCTATCAGCCCTTCGGGGTTTCCGGGCTTCGCTGCAATTTACTTTGCCGACGCCCGCGAACGGCCTTCTGTTTGGAGGCGCCCTTCCCTGCCCCCGCTGTCGCTGCGACCCTCGCCGACGGTTGGTGGCGGTGCATCTGGGAGTGGTGGTAGCATATTTATGTGGCGGCCTCGCCCCTACCTCTTGTTGGTCCCCTTGGTAATATTGGGACTGGTTTTGACTATCTGGGGCAGTGGAGCCCCCTCCAGCTACGGGAAGACAGCAGCGTCTCCCGTCGCCGAGCTGGCACAGGCGCCAGCGACGAGCGCGCTCCAAGGCCCGCAAGCGATTACATTTGGGGCGAGAACTGCCGGGAGATCGGGCACTTCTCGACGCCCATCACGGCAGCATGGCGCCCAAGCCAGCCGCAGACAAAGCAGGTACGAAAGCACAGAGCAAAGGCAAAGGCAAGGGCAGCGACTTTCCTCAAACATCCAAGATCGAATTCGCTTTACCGCCCGCCATGGTCACATGCCTGCAAGCAATTACATCCCGCTCGACACAGGACCTATGGCATTCGCCAGCGGCTGTACCCGCCGACCTCACTGTGGAACAGCAGGCACAGAGAAGAGCGTCGGCAGTGGGAAAACTCTCAAAGCGGCTCAACGGCAATCTTCGAGCGAAAGAGGAGCTTCGCGCTGCCCTGTCTACCTGGATGAACACTATAGGGTTGCATCTGGCTGGACTTGTGCAGCGGGTCCGGGCCTTGGGAGACAAGGTGGATGCGGATCTCGCGGAGGCCTGTCGGGACATGCAGACCGCCCTGGAAGCTCAGCCGTCGCTTACCACGGAGGAACAAGTCGCAGCTGCACTAGAAGCTATCGGGAAGCCAGTGTGGCCATATCCCCAGGAGCAAGAGATGTTGCGTATGGCCGCCTCTCTGCGAGCATTCAGCGCTGTGGACCCTGTCACCCGAAGTGCGGATACGATCTCAGAGATCAGCTTTGGGACGGTTGGTGCAGTGATGGCAGCTCCTGTGCTGGAACCTTCTCGTGGAGGAAGTGGCCGAGGTATGCCCAGTATGGTTGCGGACCCGGGGCACGCCGCTGTGTTGGGGGACTCGCCGCCGCGGCCTTTGCCAGAGGCAACCGCTCCGTTGCCCGATGCAGCGATGGAGTCAAGCACAGCTGCCGAGGCAGCTCCGCTCCGAGCCAAGCGATGGCGACGCCGCAACGATGCAGATGCCAGCAGGCCTTCCAAGAGTCCCCGACGAGAAGAGGTCGTGGGGCCCCCATGGTCAGCCAGTGCGACAGGCACGACCCCGGAAGGCACGCAGCGTCTACAGCAAACGCGCATCGAAGAGGGTGTGGATACTACACGACCCGCAGTGGTTTCCCCCTTGACATGGGAAACGGCATGGTTTCAGCTCCTACAGTTTGCCACAGAGCAAGGTTCCATGCAAGTCGGGGAGATCATTCGGGACGCCCAACAGGATGCCGTCTTGCCCCTCCACGACCAATGCCCCGAAGATCGTGCCGAACTCCTGGCGGCAGCAGAGGAAGTCTGGGACGCGATGGTGGCCCTCGCCGATCCGACCAACAGTGGCGCCACTCTTTCTCTGTGTGTGAGGTTGCAGGAGCTCTTGAACCGTCTTCGGCTATGCCCCAGTGCTCTCAGTGGTGTCCGGCAGGGCACCTTGTTGCTCGCGCAGGTTACAGTGGGGAATCTTTTGGATCCCTTCTCATACGCGCCTTCCACAGCTCAGGAGTGGCTATACCCTGCAGCGGTTGCCGAACATGGGACCTTAGCCAGAGGACACATCGCGGTCGTGCCCTCCACTTCACCAGTGATGACGGCTTTACTTTCACAGCGCTGCCCAGCTCTTCTGCAGATTCCGGACGATGGTGTACCGGAATTATTCTAAGGTGGCTTGGCGCTGGAATGTGTGCGATCCTTGCGCTGGTCCCGTATCAGTATCCTGGAGCTCGGCCGAGAGGCCGGTTTTATCAGCACCCTTCGTCGCGGAGACCTCTCAGCTGGAAGCCTATTCAGTTAGAAGGCGTGTCGTGGAATGTACAGATTGGGTTGCCAGTGCTCATAGTTCGGCACATTTTTCTGTACAGTTCTCGTCGTCGTTTTCTGTCGTCAGTGGAGGCTTCACGGCACGGCGTTCCGAGGCTGATTGAGAGTTGTAGCCGCAGGTCTCGAATATCTTGCCTTCCTTACTTGGGGTCGGCTGGGAAAGGCAAGTCACACTTGCGGTCTTATTTGATGCTCTGGCTGTTGGTCTTTCCTTGTAATGGGGTCCAAATATGGCAGCAGAGTACCCTTCAGGGTCAGCCCGTTTTCACCACTAGCAGTGTTCAGCCCGTGGCCAATATCCACGATCTACAGCCGGTGAGGACCCCCAACACGCCGTTGGTTGAGCCGCTGTTGCGAGCCGGACCTCAGGCTCTGCGCACAATCTGTGTGTATCGGCCGCAGGCTGCCGAACAGCCTACTGTTCTCATTTCTGATGACAGAGCTCATGGTCAGCTCCTACACAGGATGGTCTGCTCGGCTTACGGTCTTGCCGTTTCGGACTGGTGCTTGCGTCGTCTTGTCGAGGCTCTTCCCTCTTTGCCTCCGGAACAATACGTGCTCTCGCCGATACAGTTGCCGTGGGATCAGACCCTAGTTCCGGTTGACCTTCGCCCCTTAGGTGGTGCTGTCAGACTGCAATTGGCACAGCGATGCATGTCTTGTGGGGAGGTTGCTAGCCAGGCTATTACCACACAGCAGTTAGGCCCTTGCCCGGTCACATTATGCCGCACCAGTCAAGGATGGTTTCACCCCACTGCCAGGCTGCTGTTGTTGCCGTACGGCGATGCATTTCAAGTGTGGCCGATGCACCAGGTTCCTCAGGCGTCTCTTACTTGTTCTGCTGAGGTGGAAGATCGTCCCTATACGCTGGAAGATCGCTTTAGCACAAGCCTGTCGTTGCCTCATACCGGGGAACTGGCCTATCACGAACTGAGTGGAGCTAACGCGGTGATATTGCATCCCCACGGGCATACGTACGCTTGTTTACCCTCATACGCCGACCACCTTACCCTTAGGTCTGCTGCACTTGGAGCTGTTGCTGCCGATTTGCAGATTAGGTCGCAGGGTCGTCTCTGCTTTGCTCGACTGCTGCCGCCTTTGGCTTGCATGCCAGCTGTTCAATATGTGGCGGCATATTGCGAAGAAGGCGAGGTTTTAGGTGTTGTTGATCTTCGCCCAGTTGATGGCGGGGTTTATGCAATACAGGTACGTCAAGGGGCTACACCAGCTGAACGAATTACACTCGCGATACAACGACATGGCGAACCCAATGCTGCCCAGCCCCTGGCGGCCAGCCTAGCCCAGGGACGGGTACAGGTCCTGCATAGGGAGCATGTCGTGGACCCCTTCTTGCCGCTTTCTGCTGCCCCGCCTGCTCACATCGTTGCCCTTATCCGTCACAGCAATCTTGCGGCAGGGTATCGTGACCTTCATGTGCAAGCCGGGGAGGAAGAGGCCCAGCCATCAGAAATTGGTACTCTTGAATCCTCTCAAGAAGTACACTCTGGCGGGTCTAGGCTACAGGCGTTTAAGGTCGGCAATGTGATAGGTGGTCTGCTCTTCCTCGTGAAGCCGCGTGCCCTCGTGCTGTCCCTGTCGATCCTTGTTGCCGTTGCGATGCAAGACCCGGTTACTCGGGAGCCCATGAATGATGCCCATGAAGGCCGGCCTTGGCGGCTTGTGCGGAACCATCCCAGCCTTGCCTCTCTGGAAGAGCACTCTACAGTCGGCAGAAGCTGGTCCCTGCTTGATGCACGGGAAACTCTTGGGATTGTCTTCGATGCCCAGGCCGGGCTGCCTGAATTCCGTTTCTGCATTTGGAGCCCTGCTGATTGGAGTTGCTTCTTCCTCCCAGGGTCTTCGGCACCTACCGTCCTGCGGGAACGTCTCTTTGAGGCTAAGGTGGCTCTGGGTCGGCATGACTGTGTCTTATGGGATCCGCTACCCCCTGACCGAGCAATACATCTGGTTGCCACCGTCTCAGACCCAGCACTGGTCACGGTTGTGGTGGATACTGGGCGTGAGTATCTGTGCTTGGATGTGTCCAGACAGCGCTTCGGCGTTTCTCTTCTTTCTGCCTTGCAGTTGCTCTGCCCAGATCGGTGTTTCCGTGTCCCTGAGGATATTCGCACACCAGTCCGGAGTGGTGATGTTATAAAAGTGTTTGATGACTCAACGGCCAGTTGCCAGACACCGCAATTCTTTGTTCCGCGGTTCACGCTTCCGCCTGTGCCTGATGTTGGGACACAGCTTGTTTATATTGCATCTGTCGACATGGGTGTTATCCGTTTAAGGGTTCCGACTGGTGTTGAGACGGGCGATCTTGAAAGGGCCTTGGTCGTGTGGCTCGGCCGGCAGCGTTGTCTTGGTACTCGCCTGTTGAAGCTTGACCTCGACGTCTCGGTACCTGTCTATTGTTTGCCACGCCGTGGCAAAAGTACGTTGGCTGTGGGCCTGATTGACTTAGCTGATTCTGTTATGGACACCATTGTCCATGTGGTCGATTCAACGGGACTTGCAGATCTGGATTGCGAAGTACTCCGAGAACCTTGGCGGCCCGGTTCACTCTTTTGGAATGACATTCTTGCGCGTGGACCGGTTTGTGTTTCCTGCTGGCAGGCCTCCACAGGCCTGGCTGGTGGAGGCGCACCGATCGGTGTTGTCACTTTAGGCATCGACATCTGCCGTGCTTTGGGTGCCGGCTGGCGTCCACCGGTAGCTAGTTCTGTGCCTGAGTACGATCTTGTTATCGCTGCTGAGCATCTCGGTATTCACTGGCGTCCGGATAGCACGGCCCTCACCAGGCATGCCACCACTCAGACCTCTGCCGCCTTTTGGCCAATGCAAGCCTCACCGTTGTTCTCCTCTGCAATGCCGGTGCCACGCAAAGCTGATGGCTGCTCCTTTGATGAAAGGCACGGCGCGGAGGGAACCCTTTTCCATCTAGAATGTCCGCATATGCAGGTCAGGTGCACAATCCCGTGTGTTGCGGGCAGACATATTTGGGCCCTCCGTCTCGGTAACTGGGTTCGTGCCGCCTGCACAGTTGGTCTGAGCTGGGATGAGGTTCTGGATGTCGCCGGTCTTTCTTACTGGGACCTTCCAGGGACCAGTTATCCACGGAGCCCATCAATTTTGGATGTGGCCTGATGATGTTAGTTCACTTTCCGGACAGTGTGGGCATGTCATGCATAGCGGCAGTGATCCCTACCTTGAATGTCTATATGCGCCCGACTCTCGGCAGGCCCAGGCAGAGGCGCAGCCATCCTCGGGTCATAGACAACTGAGCCGCTGGTGGTCTCCTGTGCTATTCCTTTTGCTCGCTGGTCATGATGCTTGCTCTACTGGCGTCGGTGTTTTCCTGTTCCTCCCGTTGGCCTGGGCCGTTAGTGATGCCGGCTCCTCAGATACGCCATCGGTGCTGCACAGCTCTAGTGCGTCTGAGGGTCTCACCGCTATGGAAAACTCGACTCTCAGCTGTCCCGTGGCCTGGTGTCATGAGCTTTCGTGCCAGAGTACCCACTTCACTGTCAATCCAGAGTCCTTGGCTGCTTACTTTGCCTCCCACTCCCCTCAGGAGTTGGTACGCGTGCAACTCTGGAACCCGTTCCAAGGGCCCTCCCTCTTTGACTTCCTGCGCGCCGATCCGGCTGCTGTGCTTCACGCGAAGCTTCTGGCTGCTGGACACGACCCCCTACGACGCGTCCTCTATGTTGCATTTGACACGCAAAGCACTGTAGTTGACATTATCTCGGTCCCACCTGCCAGCGGTAGATGGTGGATTGTGCGCGATGGCATCTCACGTGAGCTGCTACGCCCGGTGACTACCTGGGTGGAAGAAAATCGCCGCGCGGTTGTCACACTCAACTCACATGGGCAGGCTACCAGCCTGACCTCCACGCCAGAGGTAGCGTCACTGTACAATTTGCCACAAGGGGCCCGCGGTGTGACTGCCGCCCCGCTCACTAAAGTGTATGGGTACCTCACTGCCGCTGGTTTAGTCCTTATTGAAGCTAGCCTCGGTTCTGTTTCAGGGGCATTCCCGCGTGCACTGCCGTTTCTTGGTTTCGCACTCCTTATTACAACTCCTTGTCACGCCATGATGCAAGGTCAGGTTGTACCGGCGCGCACCCAGGCCCAATGGGGAGCGCAGCAAGAGGCCCCTCGCCAGACTCGAGTATGGACTCACACGCTGGCGGCCCCGGTCGTCGTTCCGTACACCAGTGAGCCTAACCCAGTTCGGCTTGCTGCGGCAGTAGCCGCCACCCACAGAGGTGTACGTGGCGATGGAGTCTTCGATTGGACACTCCCGCGGCAGTGCGGGGATGCGGCCCACATTATTCATTACCCAACCGGTCTATGTCCTCCGTTTGTCTTTTGGCTTTTGCACTATCGTGGGCGAGGGTCTGTAATCTGTGCCACTGCAGGCCAAGTGGACTGGCAATATCTAGCCCAGGAGGCACATGAAGCATTCCTGTCTCCCAGCTTCCTTCAAGGAGCTTTTGGGATACAGCATAATAGTCGCGTGTTTGCTTATGGCTCCGAGCTAGTTGCACCTCCGCATGGCACTATTGTACATCTGGTGCGCACAGGTGCTCGACCCTCTTCTAGCTCTCAGGCTACGGTGTGGGACTCGCCTGCTGAACTCCCATGGATCCCTCAATTTGAGTATAATCTCTGCTTGGGCCCTAGACACGAAACTCCGATCCAGGAAGGACGGACTGAGTCTTTGGTCGCGCCACCGGTCAGCGAGGAGTTGCGTGCTTCGCTGGCCTACATGCAACACCTTTTAGGAGGTTTGGAACAGGCAATCGAGAAATGTCAAGTTGCTGCCGCAGCATTGGCAGAACACTGTGAACCTTTAGGTCCCCAACATGCCAACGGCGGCACTCCTGCTGACGCCGACTCCTCCGCGCTAGGCTGTCGTGGTCAATCAGTGCTATCTCGGGTAGTGCTTCTGTTCCTTGTCAGGTTCTCTGGCGCGGCACATCGCAACATCCTCTTGTACGGTCTGGTTGCCTTCTCCCCGTCGTGTGTTCTTGCTGATGAGTCGGATGATGAGGCTCCCGATGGGCCGACTGAACCGAGTTCGCCAGCTCTGACTGATTTGCAGGCACCGACACCCACTGGAACTGTTGAGCATGGCATCGACCCACGGGTTGGGATTATCCAGCGTACAAGCGACTCATCGCTTGCTCATACATCCGCCCCTCTTCGCGGTGATTACGAACCACTGATCAGCACATTTGACCTCTGTGCCATTCCTCGGCTGCAGCGAACTGTCGCTGCCTGCCTGAGCGACGTGGATACCGAGTGCCCAGCGAACCCCTTTGTCCCTGCTGGCTGCCCGTTCACTATACATAACCCGTTCACTAGCCGCTCTCAATGTAAGGTTATGTCGGAGGCTATTCCCTCCCCTCAGGCGCTGCGCTCCGTCCTTTCTGACTTTTCTGCGCGCAGAGGATGGCAACCTCTTGTCAGCCTGCAGCCACAACCTGATCAGGCTAGTGTTCATCTCATTCCTGCGGCAGCTGACTCAAATCTGGCATCTGTGGTCCTGCGCTCCGGCTCCACTCTGCAGGCCCTTTGCTTGACACGTGCTTGGCAGGGTAATCCGTACCGGCGCATTGCTCTTCACGGTCGCCAGGGCCGTCTGCGCGAGCCCTACAGTGTCTCCCGGGGTATTGGGGGCACTGTCACTTTCAGGGACGGCGATTGTCTGCATGCCGACATGGGGCCCTTCGGTCCTCCCCCTCCTACCCCGGCAACTTCGTTAGGACGCACGACCCGGCCTGCACTTTGGCAAGTTTTCTTCTTGGGCTTCTTTGGATCTCGCGTTGCGCCTCTTTTAATGCCTCTGCTTCTCGCGGGAAGGGTAGGGGGTGTACACATTCTACCTCCAGCACCTGACGGGGTGCCTGCCCCCAGACTGTCTGTCAGTCATTTCCCCTGGCGGGAAACTCACGAGCGTCGCACTCTACGTGGTGTCTGCCGGGATCGCTGCTGCAGAATGTCGCTTTTATGCCCTTGGCGGGGACCTCAAGGATTGTACCAGACACCAGCTTCTGTTGTGCTGCATGATGTATGGGATCATTATGCGGAACCAGGCCGTCCGCACGAGTTGATGCCAATCTGGCCGAGCCTCAGCGCGGACAGACTCTGGTTTGTGCCACGTGCACACATCGCCGGAGCGTTGGTCTGTGTTGTTGCCCATAGTCACCTCGGGTCCAGAGCATTGGTCCTACCGGCCCGCCTCTCAGCGGCAAGACTGCGGCAAACAGTTGGGTATTTGACTGGGTGGGATATACTGAAGCTCGAGCTCCCGTTAGGACTTCCAGCCCAAGTTAACACTCAGTCTGAAATGCCCTGCCTGCTTCGTGATGGCGATGTGCTTGATGTCTCTCTTACCGGTATGGAAGCTGGCAAGCATCTCATTCGCAACTCTGCTGAGCTTAAGAATAATGTCCTGTGGACTCGCAGACTTGTCTTGCAGGTGCCCGCGTTCATCCGAATCTGGACGCCGCGCATCCGCCCCCCTATTCTTGTCTGCGTCGCTGCTGGGGAAGGCTGGGATCCGGCAGAGGGGACGTTTTCCGGTGAATTCCGAACCAGTCACCCTGGACGCTGGGCACCGGTCCGGTGGACCCCGTGCAGGCTGCCGCATTTTGTACAAGTCTCTGACGAAGAGCAATGTGCTAATGTGCTGTTCGAGGATAGCAGTGGCGTCATCTGTGTCACCCTTGATCGGCAGGTCACTCCGTTTGATATTATGCATGGTACGGCTGACAGCTGCCGGGGTGTGAGGGTGCTTGGTAACTTTCATATTGGCGCTCATGCCCCTCTTGAACTTCGTGACGGTGATGTGGTTGTTACTGGCCCCCTGGCACAGGTGGAGGACGCGGCTTGGCCAGATTTGCGAAGTGCGGCTGCTATACGCTTGCCTAGCTGGCCGCTGCTATGGATCCCATGCCTAGGAGCAGCTGTGTCCCGAGTCGGCTGCATGGTAAGTGTGCTCGCCACGAGTGTTCTCGCGACATCCCGCTCCGGAGCTCCGCATCTTCATGGACGCTCCCGTTCGCCGCACAGGGAAGACACTTCTCGTTGTCCGAGTCCCCGTATCGGTTATTGGCGGCCTGAGCGCCGGCACCAAATGAGCCTGGTTGCCACTCGCAGCGAGTGCCACCTACAGGTCTTGTGTCCCTTCCGCGGCTGGGGTCCCCCGGTGCCATACACCCGTACCATGGAGTCACAGCAGATCATGCGGGTTGTTCACCGCGACTCGGGTAACTGGGCCGTGGGCATTCTACCTCTTGGAGGTAGTCATGTCGAACACTTTACGGTGATCCTGCCACTCCCTCCGGCCCCTCTTGTAGCTGTGCTCTTACACACTGCCGGCACCAGCCGGGCTGTCCTGTTGCCTTCCTGCATTACTTTGCGCCAAATATCGGACTATTTCGTGTCGCTTACTGGGGCGCCTGGCATGCGCGCCCTTGTGCCGCCAGCACTTAAGCGCATCGGTGGGTATGAAGACGAAACTGTTCGTCTGCGACACGGGGATACCTTTGAGCTTGAAGCAGGCCCTTGGCACCCTTATAGTCGTCAACATGAGGCCGTCCTAATTCCTGACCTCCAGCACCTGCCTCACTTAAATGTGTGGCACATGCCCTTTTTGGTACGCTCTGGAGGTTGGGTGTCAGTTTGGAGCACTGATGGGGATGGCAATAGCTGTCACTCACGGCACTGGATCCCTGACGGAGCTTTATGGTCGCCTCGGTGGCTTCATTTTAGCACTGACGGCAGGCCCCTGGCTGAGGGGCGATGGGTGCCGGCTGCTTACCTTCCCGAGCATCATGTCAGCTTCGTTGAGCAGCCGGAGCCGCAGGCTGTGCATGTCCTGCTCTCACAGCCGTATGACTCCACTGCCACGGTTTGCCGGCGGCTGATGTTGGACCCCTCGGCCGAGCGCACCGCCCTGAATCGAGTTTCTGATGATTGGCAGCTCCGACCGGATTTGCAGGCGAGAGTGGTTGTAACTTGGCCGCGGAATGGTGACATTATGGTCCCCCGTATACTCCGCCGCGCCTTCCATTATAGCCTGCTCTCTGCAAATGTTGCCGGTCTCATGCGGCGTCCCTGTTGGGCGCTTCTCGGTCTTGTGGGAATGATCTCCATCACTGAGGGCGCTGCTGTTCCCTCCATGCCCGATACAGTCGGGCAAGACGCACAAGGGGAGAGATATGGTGTTGACCCCTACTATGTTATTGCCCTCGCTGCCTTGGGTACTCGACACCTGCCTGGGTACCTGGCCGCGCTGCCGGCTGTTAGCGCCATGGTTGTACCGCCGGCCGAGCAACAGCAACTACCACCTGTGCCCATTGGTAAACACCCTTGGCGTGTTCCACAGCAATCGCGTGTATGTGGCGACTCTGTCGCGCAATGCACTCGTGCTAGGCTTCTTTCCCCCTTTTGTGGAGAAGGTGACGAGGTCGAGGTTTCGCCAGACACCCCTGTCGAGGATCTGCGCATTTCCCTTTCCAGTACGGAGCCGTACTGGTACGGGGAGCTTATGCCGGTATGGCCGGCAATTTGGCCGTATACAGCGGTTTATATGCCCATACCTTCTGGTGGCGATTTGGTGTGCGTTGCTGCAGTCTCGCCGGGCTGGCAGCTGGCTGTCCTTATCCCGCGGCGCACTGATTTGGAATGGCTCCTTGCCTATCTTCGCCGCATGACGCCAGTTCCTGTTCTCTCCGTTCACCCCCCCGTTGCCGCTAGACCAAAGGATGACCCTGCACGTGGCGCAATAGATTGGCGGACGGGGGATGTCATATTAGCCTTCCAGTGTGGCACGGCTGCGACTCACGAGCTGCCGACGTTCTTCTCGCCGGAGCATGTGCGTTACGCTGCAATCTGGAGCCATGATTTTGTGGTGCACTGTGAGCTGCCGCTCCTTGTTTGGCGGGTTGGGAGGCCTCCCTCTGCAACTGTTATGCCACCGCCTGCTCGCTGGGTGTCCTCCGAGCAGACCTTTACAGGTCGATTTGGAGTTAAGTTCCCAGGTAGATGGGTTCCTGTTCCATGGGCCCACACCGACAAAGTTGCACTGTGCCCATGTGCCGAAAGCCAGGGACATTGCAACATTGTGTATGAAACGTGTAATGATATGCACCTTCGCGGTGAGTGTGTTACCGTCTCCTCGTCTTCTAGCCGATACTCTCTCTCACAATTGGTCGGCTCGTCCCCCGCCCGCCTCTCCCTTCTAGGGCAGGGTGTCGAGTCGCCTGAGCTGCCACCCTTGAGAGATGGGGATACGATCTTCAATATGGCCGAGGACGAGCATAATACGGCATTCCGTCGACGTCCCAGTCACCTGCTGGCACTGACCGTATGCTGGTTGTCTAGGCGAGCCTGCCCTTTCGCGGTGGCTGGAGTCTGGCTACCTCTTCTGGGCCAGCCTGCCCTGACTGACATTGCGCTCCACCAAGCATGGCTCTATGACGCTCCACTCGTCATTGCTGAAGAACTGCCCTGGCTTCCTCGGCACAACCCCGCTCTTTCCCCGGCGGGGATGCACCGTAATATGCTCTGCTGTTGCCTTGCACAACTCTCGAAGTACCTCTTGGCTTTTGGCGCTCCTGGCTGGGAGCGACACGGGGACCTTTGGACTTGTGATCTCACTTCTGTTTGTGACCTCCAGACTCGACTGTATCGTCTGTGGTGGGCACGGCCTCTCCGTGACAGCTTGCCTGTGACATTCCCGCGTTCTTATCATGCTGCATGGGGCTCTCTTCCGAAATGGTCTGGTGGTGTGCCCGGGTCTCTTTTCATCTCTACTGATGGTAGTGGCATCCATGGTGGCTCCTGGGCCTTTGCAGTTTGGGCTCATTTCGGGTCCACTTGGCACAGGTTAGGGTGGGACGCCATGGCGCTTCCTGCCACTCCCTGGCTCTCTCCTCGTGAACACCTCCCATGCCATCAGCATGCCTATCTCAGCGAGCTTACTGCCCTTCAGGCCGCTGCCATTTGGTGTATGACCGCCCTTGACCAGTGGCAAACATGGATGCACGCTTCTCCGGTCAGTGTCACTGTGGCTGTTGACAACGCCGCTGCCTTGCAGGTTGCTGCTGGTCATGGTACCGCTAATCACACCGTCGCCAGGCACACACGTGTCCTGTGGCAGGCGGTACAAAGTAGGGTCAGCACTGTCTTTCGGCATGTCCATAGCCATGTTGGGGTCATGGTTAACACTCTGGTCGATGCCCTTGCTGGCTTGCGTCTACCCTGCCCTTTGGTGTTGCGAGACTCCGAGACCTCTTCACCTGCCCTCTGCAGTGTCCTCTCTGACCTGGGACCTTATCTGTGGCTTGTGCCGAAGGCCAGACTTATTGCAGGGAAGCCATGCGTGTGCTTCTCGAATTGCACTTCGGTGCCGGCGGATTACGCATCTTCCTCCGGTCAGGTCGAGCCGGCGACACAAGTCTCTGAGCGGGAGGCCACCGCTACCACCGCCGTTGAGCCTCATTCTGTTGAGCCAGCTGCGCCAGTCGCCCTGAATATCCTAACAGCCAACGTCCAGACAATGAAGGACACTAGGCCCAACCTCTTTAATCCCTCAGGCCATGCAGCCCGACGCCAGTATCTTCTCCACCAGGCCTCCTCCATCCCCTGTGACGTTCTTTGCATACAGGAGGCTCGTAGTTGTGCCGGAAGGTGGAATACAGGCGGTTGGCTATCCTGGCGGTCCGGACACTCCAAAGGCCAGTTCGGTTGCGAGGTGTGGATTCGGCCGAATGTTGTCACCCCGCCACTCACTCTGCAGTCCTGGCGTATCCTCCATTCTAGTCCCAGGATTATGCTGGTGACCTGTGCCGATCCTAGGTTGCCGCTTACTGTCTGTTCGGCCCACGCCCCGCACGCGGAACGCCCGGATTCCGAGGCCCGCGATTTTTGGCAGGAGCTGAAGCTAGCAGTGCTGCGAGCGCCCTCGTCCAAAGGTCTGCTTCTTGGGCTTGACGCGAACGCGGATTTCTTTGCAACCGATGAGGAAGAGCATCTCATCGGAAGCCTACTAGCTCCTGGGGAGCCTGATCGGAATGACATGCACCTCTTGGAGTTTTGTGTGCATCTCGGTTTGGTGGCGCCCTCGACTCACCCTGAAGTTCAGATTGGCCCAGGCTGGAGCTGGGAACATACAGGCGGCACGCGCAAGCGGCTCGACCACATCTTGTTTCAAGCCGGGCCTTGGGACGTGAGGACCACCAGTCAAGCCCTCGACTTTGACCTGGGCCATACCACTCGTGACCACGTTCCCCTTCGGGCGGAAGCTACTTTGCATGCGCCCCGCGCCCAGAAACGCCCTCCTACCGCGCGCCGTTGTACTGCCGTGGAAGTTTTAGCCTGTGGCGGTGAGCTCTGGCAATCACTACGTCGTCAGCTGAACCCGGTCTGCAGTCCTGCTCATTGTGTGCACCTGCTCTCGCAGCAGTATCGCAATTTCGCGAAGAAGCTCCCAGCCCGCGCTCCCTTTGTGCCGCGGCAACCTTATTTATCCGCCGCTACTGTTGTTGCGTTGATTGACCTTCGTGATTGGCGCCATCAACTTCGGCTGGTCTCTCGTACTCACATGCTGTGTTGCCTTCAAGCCTGCTTCACTGCGTGGAGAAGCGGCTCTACCAGTATCTCCCATGTTGCAGCACGACGAGACTCAGGACGTCTTTGCGCAGTCATGCAAAGTCAGGAGCAGAAGATTGCGCGGAAAGTGCATGACCTGGCCAGGCGTGACAAATCCAACCACTTCCTTATGTTAACTAAAGCGGCCACCGACCTTTGGCACTCGGATGGCCGCCCGATGGAGGCGCTGACTAAACTTCGTTGGGCGTCGAGGAAGGCCGCGGAAAAACGGGCAGTCTTCGCAGCAGGAGGCTACGATATCGACGCCCAGCTTGAGGAGCAGTTTCGGGCACAGGAAGGTGGACGTTGTGTCACACCACAGCAAATCGCCCAAGAATTTGAGACGTGGGCCAACCACCCCGCGCCGGCATGTCCGGCCGCTTTGCCTACCTTGCTTCAGCTTGAACACCTGTGCCGTCGTCAACAAGCCTCTAAGGCTCCCGGTCCCGACCTCATACTCAACGAGCTGTGGCGGGCCTTTCCGGCTTACGCCGGCCAATGGTTCTGGCAAGTTTGCACCCAGATTGCTCTGATGGGGCATGAACCGTTCCATTTCAAGCTGGCCCTCATATGCGCGCTCTACAAGAAGGGGCCCGCGGCGCTGCCACAAAATTATAGGTCTATAGCCCTCCTAAATGGTATGGCAAAGGTGTGGCATAGCCACCTACGTTCCACTGTGGGTCAATCTGTCCTCCGGGGATATTCCCCGTTTCAGCTCGGCGGCCGACGTGGTATTCCCGTCGGTTTCGCTGTCTCTGCCTACAGGTGTGCCACTGAACTTAGCCATGCCGAGTGCCGAAGCCTGGCCGTGCTCTTCATTGATATACAAGCCGCTTACTATGAAGCTAGTAGGCGCCTTGTGTTCAATGGTGATGAACTCTCTGAACCTGCTGAGGGCCTCTGTAGTGAGCATCTTGCCCCCTTGGCGCTGGAGTTACTGCGAACGGGCGCGTTGGAGGTTCTAGGAATGCCGGTTGAGGAGCGACACTTGTTGCAAGACTGTGTCGAATGTTCGCATTGGCGCCTTGTTTCCTCGGAACGTACTTATGCCGCTACCAGAGGATCGCGGCCCGGGGATGGCCTCGCGGATGTTATTTTTGGCGCTTTATTCTCTGTGGCCCTCCGACACATCCGGCGTGTCTGTGCTACCGAAGGCCTCGCTCACCATTCCATCGGGACCGCTCTCGGCACGGATGACGAAGTTCTGCAACTTGGCTGGGCGGATGACCTAGCGATTGTTGCCGACTTCGACACACCAGTCGCACTTCAGTATGGCTTTCCCCGCTTGGCCTCCATCGCCATCTCCACCCTACAGGCACTTAAATTCCGGGTTAATCTCGGTGCTGGCAAGACCGAGGCTGTCTTAGATATTCGAGGTCCACAGGCCAAGCGAGTTCGCGGTGAGATGCTAGGGGGTAATTCCTCGCTGGCGCTCTCCGGGGACCTGACTCTGCGTCTTGCACCTGAATACCGGTATCTTGGTGTTGTCCAGACACCTCATGACACCGGTCGTCGTGATGTTGAGCTTTGTTCCCGCTGGGCATGCAGCGCGTGGGCACATGGACGCAGCTTGCTCTCCAGTACTTTCCTGCCCTGGGTCCTTAAGACATCGTGGATGTCAGGACGGATTCTTCCAGCAGCATATGCTACCCTCGCAACCTCCGTTGCCCGGTCTGCAAGGGCCTGGAGCCCTCTCACTGGCTTCTTTGAGAGAGCTGCCCGGACGCTGATAGGGTCATGGCAGTTCGGTCATTTTCTAACAGGCCCGATGATGTATGCTGTTTTGGGCCTCACCACCCCTGGACATGCTGCTACTGTGGCGCAGGTTCGGCTTATTGTCCAATTGGTTACGGCTGCCCCACCTGCCCTCTTTGAGCTGTTCGATGCGGCCTGGAACCGCGCGACTCCATGGTGTGAAACTCTCGCCGACAGCTTGCGAGCTGTCTCCGTCGCTCTGCCACGCGATGATTTCCGGGGTCCAGTCGCTTCCATTGCTTACGTGCGACAAAATGCTCAGTCCCTCAAGAAGGCATGCCGCCGTCTGAGTCGATGGGGGTCCCAGCTCCAAGCTGTTTGGGACCTCTGGCAAGATGTTCTTCAGCCGAGGCAAAAGCTAGTTTTAGGTGAGCCGGCTTCGTTACAGTGCCCCCTGTGTCGACAACATTTGCCCAGCCGCCACTCCCTTGCCGCACATCTGCACAGAAAACACGCGGTCGTCAATGTGATTACTCGGTATACTGAAGGGACAATTTGTCTGTGGTGTCATACTGAGCACCACTCCACGGACCGGCTAAAATATCATCTGAGTCGTAGTGCATCCTGTATGCATGGGCTTCGGGTAGTCGTGGGACAGGTTTACTCCTACGGTACGGGGACTAAACGCACTGGTACCCGTCATCACAGAGGTCTCCCACCGGTCCGGGTTCCTGGCCCTCTCAATGCTACGGCAGCCCAACGTTTAGCTGCCTTGGAAGGCCGGCAATGCACTCCGGCTGAGCTCCAACGTGAACTGACCCGGGTCACTGGAGCCACTGATGTTTACAGCTGGCCGACTCTCCAGTCGGATGACAACGGCCTCAGCAATGCCTCGCCGTCTGTTCCCTTGCTGCAGAGTGAGCCGCCTGTTGTCCCGCCACAAACTGTGCCTATGAGCTCCCCCGACATTACGGGCGGACGCTGGTTCTCCCTTGTGGATCACTCGGCTGCCGCCGCCAATGATTGGCACACGCCTTCCCCTCTGTGGGAACGACTATTGGCACAGCCCTTCGTGTTACAGTGGCCGGTCACTTGGCAT